CACCTCAGGCTTGTGGGGCTTGGTCAACAACGCTGGCCGCAGCATCCCCATCGGCCCTAACGACTGGATGACGACGGACGACTACCGCAGAGTGCTGGACGTCAACCTCCTGGGCATGGTGGACGTCACGCTGCAGATGCTGCCCCTGGTGAAGCAGGCTCGTGGTCGGGTCGTCAACGTGGCCAGTATTCTAGGGCGGGTGTCCATCGTGGGCGGTGGGTATTGCATCTCCAAGTTCGGAGTGGAGGCCTTCTCCGACACGCTCAGGTGCGTTAAGATTCATGGTCACGGTGATGGCGGTGTCGCCCGTATTAAAATTATGTGACTTGTTCAATAATATCGGCATAATGGTTCGCATACTGGAAGCGTAATCCAGAAGCCGCCAGTTCGATCTCCCAATCATCATTGTTTGACCGTACTTGATTCACCATTGGGCCTGTGGCAGCCACGGGATGGTGGAGACTACCGCCTCACTGCCATCTATAAGTCATGAAGCCCATAGACATTCGGGTCCTGCCAACACAATAAAATCCAAAAATTACCTCCGTTAATAATGAAATGCACATGTTTTATTGTAGGAGTGTACCACGTGCCATAGACATTGAGTGATATACCAAATTGCGCTATGGCGCTTGTTTAGGACAAAGCTATGAGGAGAGTGTGGGGGATGCAAGCCATCCATTATTTGGGTTCCGTGCGTGTCTTCTGCGCCTGCTGTAGGCGCGAGATGCGTGCGTTTGGGGTGAAGGTGTCCATCGTGGAGCCGGGGTTTTTCCGTACGGCTGTCACTGACAATTCCCTCCTCGAGGTGGATCTGAGGAAGCGCTGGGCACAGCTGCCATCTGTGACGAAGGAAGATTACGGCAGCGACTACCTCGACAACTGTAAGATCCAATTCTAACATCTCGCTCCACTACCCTCCGTGCACTCTTCTTCGTCTCCCCTGTCATCTCACTGCTACTCACCTCCATACACTATGCTACATCTCCCAATCTCATCTCACTTTCACTCGCTTCTACCCACTTTCTGCTCCAGCAGCCAAGGCGTTCTGTTGAAGCTCCCAGTCAACCTTTACTCAGTGGGAGGTTGCTCATTCTCTCGTCTGCTGCCTTCATGGTCTGGAACCCCCCACCCCCCATCCATCTGTGCTGTCCACTCGCTGCCCCTGTTCAAGTTCAGACTCAAGATGTTCCTTTTTGCTTTTACAATGACCAACTGCCTCTTTAATTCTCTAAAAAAGTAATATGTCGACTGTATTTTGTTCAGCGTCGTAAGATATGGCCGCAGTTAGTCGCTATATAGTCAGGAGTGGAATGCTGGTATAAACCAAGTGCAGTAGCGGCAGGTAGTATCAATATAACTATCTTTCTCTATATATCGATATATGCAATTCACAAGTTTCTATCCATCGTGCTGTGGATCTCCCAAAATGCTACGTGGGAGGAAAACACACACACATAATTGGAAAACGTCTCTGATCAATCATTACACTGCTTAATTATTAAATGAACGCGCTGCTGAAACAGGCACAAATATTGTAATTGTACTCGTCAACGCTCGCGTTTGCCAATGCCCTTGCGGAGAGCACCCCTAAAGAGGGTATATGGTCTGAGATTCCATGCTAACAGTACACAATTCATAATAAAGATTTTTGGGTTAGATCGCGTAAGTATAAATGTGTCGTTAATCCGCCACCACCCGACACAGCCAACCTGTAAGGTTTGTCACGTAAACAAAACGTGACAATTAGTTAATACATCAGCCCACCAGTGTGTTGGAGAGTAAATACACAACATTTACAATACGAGTACGATGTTCCACTCGTAATTGCATCATGCATCATCGGGCGATTTGGCCAGAATTGTGAACATATCTACCTGCTTTTGGTCTTAAATAGAGCAAGATAGTCATCACTGTGAGCCAAACAGCCAAACGTTATCAGACGCCTGTATGATTGCAGATTCACGTCATCACCCCACACAGAAATCCTCTCTCATCAAGATGCTCATACATCGGGCTAAAACAGTGTCAGATGGTGAAAGTCTGAGGAGCGAGATTCAACATGTCAAAGAAGCTCTACAATTAAATGGTTTCAATAATGCTCAAATTAACATAGCATTGAATGACAAACCCAAATCGAACAGCAATAATGGCGAAAGTGATAATGTTATTAAACAATTAAAATACCATACATTGTGGGAGTAACTGACAAACTAGTTTAGAAAAATAAATCAGAGTGAGATTCAGCATGGTATACAAAATACAAAAACCAGTATCTTTAACTAGAGATGAATTGCCGAAGTTATCAACAGAAGTTGCGTACCAGATTAATTGCTCTTGCGGATAATGCTATGTTGGAGAGAGGGGACAAAACATTAGCGTACAACTAAAAGAACACCAAATAAATATGACATACTCAGAAACACATCTTTCGGCAGTTGCAGAACATTCTTGCCAACAAAGACATTCAATTGATTTTAATAATGTTGAAGTGTTTTCTGAAACGAATTATAACTGGCCAAGACTAATTCGAGACTCTATTGAAATTGAGAGAGGTACAAATAACTGTAACTGCTCTGACAGCTATAGACTTAGTGTGGCCTGGAAGCGTATTAAGTAATATACCGTACAATTGCATCCCTTGTAAAGGCATCGCATACTAATTAACTGTGATTAGCAATCCATTGTTATTTCATTACAAGTGTAGTGTACTAATTTAGAGACTCTAGTCGGAGGCACTCTCTTTTATTCCGGCATTTACAGCCATAGGGGATAACTACATACCGGGTCAGGACAGACAACATGCTTCCAGATCCACAGCTTCGAATAGGCGAAGACCACAACAACAGCAGCATGACGAGTTCCACTCCAAATTGGCAGCAGCTGTGAGTCGGAGCTCACCTTTTATCCTCCCCAGCGTGAACAGGCTCCACCCTCGGCTACGCACCCTTCTGGATCCCCCAAAAAGCTCTGGGCTTCGCCCACGTGTCCAACTGATAGAACGGGCTCCTACCCCCACTCCCATTCTCTACCAGTCCCCTGCGCCCCGTGCTCCAGTGACTCATCCTATGTCACTACACAAGTAACCCCCCTCTGCTCTCCGCACCTGTTTCGCCCACAGTGATGGCGTTGTCTTGCTCTATTTAAGACCGGAAGCAGGTAGATCTGTTCACAATTATGGCAAAATCGCCCAATGATGTAGGATGTAATTACCAGCAGAACGTCGGACTCGAATTGTAAATGTTGTGGATTTACTCTCCAACACCGATAGGCTGAAGTAATAACGAATTGCCATGTTTTGTTTACGTGACAAATCTTACTGGTTGGTGGTGGCGGGTTAATGAAACATGTATACTTATATTAAGAATAATAATGGTGGCGAAAGCCGGCATCTCAGGTACACAAAATCATAATAATAAAACAAAATCTTGAATCCCACTACAATGAGACTGAATAGTTTTTTTTTCTTTCCCTGAACTTTGCAGACATGTGGCTGCAGAAATACATTCTGGCTCGGCTGTGCGACGGTGACCTCTCAAAGGTCACCTGGTGCATGGAGCACGCCTTGGTCGCCACTCACCCGCGCACACGCTACGGCGCGGGCTGGGATGCCAAAATCGCTTGGTTGCCGATCTCCTATCTCCCAACTTTCATGACCGACTTCCTGCTGGCAATGATTCTGCCACGTCTCGCCGTGGCCACAAAAGTAAGGCCCTGAACCGGAATAGTGCGAGCTCCACGAGATGTTAACTACCTCGCCTGGTATACAAGAGGTCGTGGGTTTGATCCCGACCCTGACGCCTGTTGTATATTTGGAGTTTGCATGTTCTCTCTTTCGGTGGTGGCGTGCATCTTTTTACAGTTCCTCCAGTTTTTCCCTGCCACATTATATGGGTGCTATACATTTCCACATAAGCCGCTTCATTGAGCTTTTCTTTGTGTCGCGCGTGTTGCGCCGCTACCTTGCGTGTCCAGTGGTACCCTCGCATGGAAAGATGGATTGGTTTGTCGCAGATTTCAGGTTATTTTTCGCGCTTGCGTGATGTTTGGGTGCCTCGCCAGAAGATCCACAAGTCACCGCTACTGAGTAAAACCGATCTTAAAACGTGCGCGTGTAAATTACTGTGCTGTAAATCAATCCCATCGTGTAACCGACCCCTTAAAGTGGAAACGTCGCTCAATATTTTAAAATGATCTGATATTAAAATGAATAAACGTTATCCATTGTTGTACTCTACTTCTATGCACCCCAGCCTTCGCCAACCCGCATTGCCAAATGGTGGCAACATCTTAACTGCCTTGCCTGTTATACAGGAGGTCGTGGGTTCGATCCCGATCCCGACCCTGACCCCTGAATATTTGGAGTTTGCATGTTCTTCCTGTGGTCGTGTTGATTTTTCCTCGGGTCCTCTTTTTTTTCCCCTTCTACATTTAGAAACATGCGTTAAGATTATATTATTTGGCTGCTATACATTTCCACACGATAACCCACTTTGTTGAACTGTCATTTGTGGCCAGGTCGCTTCTGAAACAGAGCTACGTAGCTCAGTGGGCCTTAACTAGTAAAATACAAAAAGTTTAGTTTTTCAGGTGGGATGGGTTTTTGTAGCACGCTGCGCTAAGACTCCCTGCTCTCGCGAATCTCTGACCAAATGTTGCGTGCGCTCTGTTCGATTCACACGTTTTACTTAGGCATGCTACCACTGAGGTGGTGTAACGGTCAGCACACTGGACTTGCAATCCATGGGTCGCCTGATCAATCTCCCGGCGACGGCTGTTGAAACAATGGCGCAAGTTCCTTAAAGCCCCTACTGCCTTTGTCCACCCAGCAACAGACATGTGTAGGTTAGGTGGAGTGGGGTAAAGTGTGGGCACTCCTCCCACTCCTTCCATGACATATGGCCAGTGGAGAAGAGGAGTCCAAAAGCACTCTCCACAGGGGCCTCTCAAGTGCATCCCTGCTAGTGGAGGCCCATTGTTACGATGATTATTTTTTAAAATCGATTACTTTACGCTCTGCATGACGCGTCACCGGGAGGGGGGGGGGGCGCGGAGAGTGGGGGGTTCGTCGCTGTCGTCCTAGCGGCAGCTGTGCGACGCCGCGCTACAGCCCGGCGTCGATGTGGATCTCCACCACGTGATCATCGGACAGTCGGACGCGTTGCTGATCTGGAAGAAGGCACTACACAAGTAACCCTCCTCGCCCGTGCAGCGCACGCCCGACAAGTTGCCGGAGATGACGTCACAGTGGGTTCCCCGGCTGGCAGGCTGGACTGGAGGGTCGCGTCGAGGTCCCCTGCGGAACGGTGACGTATGTTTGTATGTATGTTGAATCTCTTCTTTAGAACCGTACATATCCGACTGTGATATAATCGGAGGTGCGGGGGAAGGACAACGAGTGAAACACAAAAAGCTGAGTTCAAGGGAGGTCCGTCGCCATGTACGCTCCAGAAAATGGGTTGGTACACCAGTGGCAATAGCTATAGAGCGTGGTGCAGGTGGTGCAACTGCCCCACATCCCCAAGGGGCTCATGCCACCGAGCTAAAAATAGGTTTGGAGATTTGATTGGGAGGGTGGAGGGCATTTAAATTCTGGGCAACATTCCCTATGCCAACCACGCTACTACGCAACTGACGTACGGGTCGACTAACTGTGAGCATAGTGCCATGTTATTGGGAATACAGTAGCCGCAAAATCGTGATAAATGTGTAGTGGCGTAACGCGCGCAGGGTTTGCAAACAGCAGTTGCATTCATGTACGGGGTTGCAACCAGTGAGGTTAGCTCCGGATAAGCAGGTGCAGGCAGGTGGCCTGGGTGATAGGGACAGAGAGACGCCAGCTAATTAGGGAAAGAGGCAGTGTTTCGGCTGACTGCAAATGCAAACGCGGGGTAGGCGCCACGGAGGCGAGAGATAGAGGCGATAATGGGGAGAACACGTGCAAGAGACTCTGGAAGGACGCCGGCTTAGAGAGGGCCATCTGAGGGCACTTAATGAGGAGGGGGATATAAGGGGAACATGTGAAGCAATGGGGTTGAGTTGGTTGGAGATGAAGCGGTGAACAGTATTCATGATAAGCCCTGGACCTCGCCCCCTACACCTCGTCCTCCCCAGCGGTGTTGGCTGATTCACCCGCTGGGGGCATGGAGTCGACAGGCTAGCAGTGGAGAGGCTAGCGGAATCTTTAGTCTGAGTGAGGCTAGCGGGGTGAGAAGCTAGCAGAGTATATATAGAGAGAGAGTCCGTGACAGGCTAGGAGAGCGGGGAGTAACAGGCTAGTGGAGCGAGAGAGAGTAAGCTCGAAGTAGCAGGCGAGCAGAGGAAGAGAGGAAGAGTTTGCGACAGGTAGTACGTGGGTGTTGAACATGAGACGCATCCGTGTGGGATGCTGCAAATAAAGTTACGTGAATAAACACCACACTAAAAATGCATCTAACAAGTCATATGTGCCTCATATGCATCCAAGCGCATGGGTGGGGTGGCAGCTGTGGCATGATGTGGTTTTCTCCGTGTAGGTTAAGCCTGTAGTTTGCAGATTTGCAAGGCCGCTTGTTGTGACCTTGTGATTAGGCGTTCCTGCAAGTTTGTACTTTGGTCAGTGGGCGGAAAAATCGGTGGGTAGCTGGAACCGCTGAAACAAACCTGAGCTTTTTGTGGTTTCGTGACGTCTCGTGCACAACAGGGCTGTACGTGGCTGCTGGGATACATATGCTGGTTTAAGAGTCTTTCAAGTGGAAGTTGTTCTTATTTTTACACCTACATGTATGGCGCGACTGCAGCGGACAGCTGTGAAAGTGTGAAAACGAAAGATTGTGGATATAACGTCTAAAAAAATCAGTCCATTTAAATCAGGTAAGTAATGCGCAAATGACACCGTGGCGCCTTAGTAAGAAAAAACTATATTTTTGTCAGGCCACTGCTGAACGGAAGGCCTTACAATACCTTTGTAGGTCAAGTGGGTTGTTTTACCAAGTTACAACTGGCGTGATAAGATTACACTCGCCACTTACATGGTCCTCTTGGCTGGGTTCATAGTGCAGTGCACTCGCCACAAGCTGCCCCTCCGTGTTCTGCACGGGCGATTTGCTGTGGCGTTCTTTTGGAGATGGGAATAAAAACCCGTGCATGGGCCTGGCCACTTCACGTATCTAAGCAGGGACGACGACGATGATGAAGGGGGTGGACGATGAAATGGCGGTCGAGAAGAACTTAAATTGTGCTGTAAAAAACTAAAATGTTACACTGCGGTCATTCTCGTAGCGGAGTGTTGGCTGGCCATCGAACAAAGACGGTCACTGCATCGCACGCTTTCAGATGCGCTTCTGCGGCCGTTTGGAACGCTCTTCCTTCCAATACTGTATTAGGAAGCAATCCCAGTGTTGCACTTTTAAATCTCGATTGAAAACTCATCTCTTTCGAACTGCTTTTTGTACTTAGTTTATTGTCATTGCCCTGCACCTCCTTTTCTCGCTATTCGTACATACAAACTCGTCGGATACATTGAACGAGTAAGATAACGACCTGGTAGAACCTGAAACTGTTCGGTTCAAAATATAATAGTTGGTTACTGTCACTCGTCATGATTTTGGTTCAATTATGCAAATGACGATTTTAATTTCTTCACCATGGAAAGCCTCAGTGATTTAAAAAATATTTTTCATGAGGGTTCTGCATTGGGATATTTGTCCAGTTTTATTCATGGGTGGCTTGATGAGGGAGGAAACTGAAGTACCCTTTGAGAATCCACCGCGGACACACAAGGGAATAGTACTCATAGCTTCGCACAGATTTAATTGTAAGTGCCATTACATTCTATCTTTAGGAAGTAACATACCGCAAGAAGAAATATTTTCATTCTGTACATATTGCCTGCTATGACTTATGGTTTAGAAAAATTGACAAAGACGATTGAACAAGAGACGAGAAGTGTGCAAAGAACCACGCAGAGAGAGAGACCAATAGATGATGTAAATACATTGAGAGACTAAAACGGAAACTCATGGACTATACAGCCACCACAAGTGAGAAACACATGTACGTTTGTAGAACTTCTTTTGCACCGTACGTAGCCAACCGTCCTCATCGAATGTCTTCTGATCCTCCCCACTACCCACCTGCCGCCAGAGACATCAAGCGGAGGAGACCATGTCTTCCGACAACAACGCTGCGGGGCCTCCGTGCTGCCTCTGCAGCCCCACGTGCGGGCTGCTGCTGCTGGTCATCGTGGGGGTATGGGCGGCGTGGCGCTGGCGTGACAAGCACCGGGTGGCCGGCGTGACGGGCCGCTGGGTGTTCATCACGGGCTGCGACTCGGGGTTCGGGCAGGCGTTGGCCAAGCGGCTCGACGCGGCCGGCCTGCGCGTCGTGGCGGCAGTGCTTGGGACCTGCCGGCGAGGAGGAGTTGAGGAGGTCGTGCTCATCGCGCCTCGTCACGCTGCGTCTCGACGTCACGGACCCCGAGAGCGTGCGTGCCGCTGTCCGGCGGGTTCGGGAGGAGGTTGGCGAGCAGGGTTGGTGTGATCGCACGAAGCTCAGAATATAACCGTCGTCGTCGTCATCATCGTCACCATCATCATCGTCGCTATTGTGATCGCTGTATTTATCGAAAATGTGTGTTCATCACTGTGTGGTGCAATCCCCAGTCGGGGGCACACCTGGGTCTGCCCCATGACCTCCTGTCACTTGGCCTCGAAGTGCACCTGGCCTGGCACAGGCGCCGTTGTGATGTCACCGTAGATGGCGATTGGTGGATATTGCTATTGGTGTAATCCATGTGGGGAGCGGTAGTGTAGCGGTGAGCGTGCTGTGCTATGAATACATCGACACGAGTTCAATTTCCCGCTCAGCAGCGGTGACGTTTAATTGAAACGGTCATAGGCCTCTTTTAGGTCGACTCAGCCTCAATTGAGTACCTGGTGCAGTGTGTAAACATCCTCACTAGGGAGTCAAAGGCGACCGTGCGTGGTGCTGGCCACCCACCCCCTGATGTGCTGTGCTGACCTTCATAAGTTCTATTCGTGAACAGCACTTGCTCCAACAGTCTGTTAAGGCTATACGGGTGATACTTTTCGTTGTCTTTGGTGCAATCCCAACTCTATCTTTCTCTTTGCCTTGTCCATACGTGCACTGTCCACCCACACTCTAGTATCCTCTCAATATCTATCGCTTTTCAACTCACAGAGTTGTAAGAACCTAAGAATATGAATCCTTGCAGTCACGAAAGCTTCAAATCTAGAATTGTAAGAACGAGTTGTGAGTGCTGTCCATTACGTGATCTCTTTAAAAAAAGCACAAGCTCTTTGGTGCATTGCTTATCCTCTCACTACTTTGCTTACTATCGTTGCGATCGCATTCATACTCTTAGTTTTTTCGGTAAAGTCACGTAGGTAAAAAAATGAAATAAAAATTAATAAAAATAATGCGATCGCATTCCCCGTCACTTGTGCCGCGTCTGCTCTCCACCACGGCTTCTTCTTCGTCCCAGGCTTGTGGGGCTTGGTCAACAACGCTGGCCGCGTCATCCCCGTCGGCCCTAACGACTGGTTGACGACGGACGACTTCCGCACAGTGCTGGACGTCAACCTCCTGGGCATGGTGGACGTCACGCTGCAGATGCTGCCCCTGGTGAAGCAGGCTCGGGGTCGAATCGTCAACGTGGCCAGTATCGCGGGGCGGTTGTCCGTCGTGGGTGGCGGGTACTGCATCTCCAAGTTCGGAGTGGAGGCCTTCTCTGACAGCCTCAGGTGCGGCAAGATTCGTGGTCACGTTGAGGACGGTGGCAGTTCTGGACGCACTAAAAGATAGACGTGACTTGTTCAGTAATATCGGTGCCATGGTTAGCATACTGCGACCGGATCTCATAGAAAATTGCACACTTCAGTTGGCGGTTGACGTTCAAAGTGGACTGATACCCTCCAAGGAATGGCATCATGGGATGGTGGAGACTACCGCCTCAATGCAATCTGTGAGTCATACATCCCATATATGTATTCGGGTCCAGCCAACCCAGAGGTCGGCAACCTGCGGTTTCGTAGCCGCATGCGGCTCTTTTAGGACTGCTTCGTGACACGTTATTTATTAAGGGCCACCGTCTCGTATTCACAGGCATTGCCGCTATTGAAATATTGAGTTGATTACAGAATTACAAAAAAAGGGGCTCTTGTTATTTTGGTTGCTGACCCCTGAGCCAACCCAATACAATCTCAACAATGAGCTCCGATAATAATGACGCGCACATGTTATATTGTTGGAGCGTACCGCGTGCCATAGGCATTGAGTGAATAGCAGAGTGTGCTTTGGCTTTTTTTTGGACAAAGCGATGAGTGAGAGTGGGGGATGCAAGCCATCCATCATCCATCATTTGGGTTCTGTGCGTGGAATGCCGCCGTGTCTTCTGCGCCTGCTCTAGGCGCAACATGCGTGCATTTGGGGTCAAGGTGTCCATCGTGGAGCCGGGCGGTTTCCGTACGGGTATGGCTGACATTACCGCCATCGAGGAGGATCTGAGGAAGCGCTGGGCACAGCTGCCATCTGTGATGAAGGAAGATTACGGCAGCGACTACCTCGACAAATGTAAGATCCAATTCTAACATCTCTACCCTCCATGCACTCTCCTTCCTCTCCCCTCTCATCTCACTCTACTCCCCTCCACACACTTTCTACTCGAGCAGCCATGGCGTTCTGTTGAAGCTCCCAGTGGGAGGTTGCTTATTCTTCTTTGCTGCCTTCATGGTCTGGAACCCCCTTTCCCCAGCCGTCTGTGCTGTCGGCTCCCTGCTCCTGTACAAGTCTCAAAACCTTCCCATTTCCTATTAGGATGACTAACTGCCTCTTTCATTTTCTGTAAAAGAAACATGTCTATTGTGTTTTTGTTCAGCGTCCTGAGATATGGTCGCAGTCAGACACTATATTATCAGTTTCACACGTAAGCTTTCGTGACCAATATCATCCATAATACAGGTTTTTTGGGTTGGATCGCGTAAATATATAAATCTGGTGGTGGGTTTAACGACACATTTATATATTTACGCGATCTAACCCAAAACAACCTGTATTATAGACTATACAGTCAGTTAGACACTATATATAGTCATGAAAAATAAGAATATGCTTTACCGGTCCTGGAAATTAAACAGGTGTTAAGATGTTTAATCACCAAATAGATACATTTTGCAAGTAATCAAGTCTGCACTAACCACACATACTTGTGTCAAAACAGTCAAACAAGCATGGTCAGATAATATATGCATTGATTGGCCTACACCAGACACAGCCTTCTTTATGGCCGAGTCTCACCAGTATCAGATCAGAAAATGCCAGAAGATGTACAATACAAAGACAATGCATGTATCAGACCATTTCGAGCTCGGGTTTAGCAATTATATATATGGGTGTGCCGCAGAGGTCGCAAACGGGTTTTGATTCCTTACCCGTATCCGGCCGCACCAGGGTCGCAAATGGGTACCCGTACCCGTACCCGGCCGGGTACGGGTACCTGTTCCCTACCCGTACCCTACCCGAAATGAGTGACAAACGGTTACTCACCAGTGACTCACGGCCTACCCGTACCCGGCCGCACCAGGGTCGCAAACGGGTACCCGTACCTGGCCGGGTACGGGTAGCTGGGTATCGGGTAGGGTATGGGTATTGGGTACCCAGTTGCGACCTCTGGTGTGCCGGCAGGGCGGAGGAACTGGGGCAAGGGTCACGGAAGACCTCATCGGGAGGCCCCTGGAAGCCGCTAGTGGGTTCGAGAAGCGACAGAGTTAATTTCGGGTAAAATCAATGAAAATGGGGTATGCCGATAGCATAAAATGAGATGCGATAGAGCAAATCTGAGATCAGATTTGGAATCAGCACCCTGAATTTAGTCTAAAACAGCTGCAAAAGTCCAGGCCAGAATTTTTTTTTTCTTCACCAGTGTAATGAATATCTTGACTCCCACTGCACTGAGACTGACCATTTCCCCCCCCCCCCCCGCCCACCCCCCCCCCTGAACTTTGCAGACATGACGCTACAGAAATCCAACATGAATCAGCCGTGCGACGACCTCTCAAAGGTCACCTGGTGTATGGAGCACGCCCTGGTGGCCACTCACCCACGCACACGCTATAGCGCTGGTTGGGATGCCAAACTCATTTTTATCCCGCTCTCGTACCTCCCAGCTTTCATAAGCGACTTCCTGCTGGCAATGACTATGCCCCGTCTTGCCGTGGCCACAAAAGTAACGCCCTGAACCGGAGCAGTGGGGGCTCTTCCCACGGTGGTGATATGTTAACTACCTCGCCTGGTATACAGGAGGTCGTGGGTTTCTTCCTGATCCTGACGCCTGCTGCTGTATATTTGGAGTTGCATGTTCTCCCCATGGTCGCTTGGATTTTTCTTGGGGTCCTCCGGTTTTCCCCTCCTGAAAAAGAGCAGTATAGCTCAGTGGGCCTTACCTGGTAAAACAAAAATAGTTTAGTTAATAGTTTAGTAAGTGAATTCTGGCAGTCGGGGTTGTGATGATCTAGGTTAGTCAGGTGGCAAAATGATCTCCGAACAAAGTTCTGTAACATGTATGGATTTGCTAATGTTAAGAATGATTTTAAGAATATCTTCTTGTGGACGACGACACCAACTTTCAATATCGGGTTGATAAACAGCGTAGTCCATTGGTAAAGATATCGTGATTATCATGGCTCGCAAATATAACGTTTTCAGATTTTATTTCTCACTAAATAATCGTGAAATAATGAAAGCACAATATTTAATGTTTTAAATAAATATCTATGAACCGTTACATTTGAAATGACGCTAATGACTGTATACTAAGAGCCTCTTTATTTTAGACACAACTACAACTCGAGGTCCCAGCTTCGTTCTTGCTTTTGAAGCTTGTCCCTTCCCTCAAACGTCCCTCTCCACGTGCTCTCCCCTTTTATCCTTCTCGAGCCCCCTCTCTCGAACTTTCCCTCACTGTTTTCCCGGCAGCCAATCCCAATCCTCCTCCTCCAACGGTTCCCAACCGTCGCCTCCAAGTTCCACTCTGTTTCCCACTTTTTCCCATTTAAATATTTCCTTCAATCTCTTCAAACCCTGCCTCCCGGCCAGTCATTGTGGAAGCATCTTCCCGCCAATAGGAAGCCTTGGCCTACTTTTTCAATTACAGTGGCTGCACATTGGCTTGGGGTGAGTGCCTCTTAATTTCGGTCATTACACATTCGTTATTGGGTCAATATATTTCCGAAGTAAATGACCGCGTGGTGGTTATATGTCAACATGTTTGTCGTGCATTTAAAAAAAATTATGTGTGTCTTTAGGTATACTCTTTTTACATGAAACGATTAGGATGACTTAATGGAAATCCTTATGATGATTAAACTGCAATAAAGAACCTATCAATAAATCATTGTTGAAGTATAGCAAAGCACACACACACACACACAAAATTGAAAACCAAAAGCACAGCTAGAGGAAACTGATATAGCTAGTAATGGGCATATAGCAAATATGAGTATCGTTTTGTAACAAGATTTGTTGCTGCGACTAGCGTTTGGGATTGCAACGATGCCGAACGGTGTTGGGAACTGATCCCCGGCCACCTGTGTGACGTCGCTATCTCAAAGCAATCAGCAACGACGGCCCTGCTGCCAATGTCGGACAGTTGGTCATCTTGCCGCACAGTTTCACCAGCGCTCCCTGCTACACGCATGGGCGCACTCAAGATGCCATGGCACACGTGCAAAACTTCATCACGTTCACCTGCAACCCTTGTTTGGGAGAAAGTGGCTCGTGAACTAATGGAAGGGCAAAAACGACACAATCGCCATGATTTGTTGGCCAGAGTATTGTGACAAAACATTTTACTGGTAGGAATGAAGTGAACCAGCCTACAATAGATTATATCGTCCGTCCGTCCGTCCGATGTCCGATTAGGTGTAGCAACATCGCCCCCTACTGCAAACACTTGGCAGGACCCTACTAAAACCTTTAGACTCAGTGAGGCTTTCCTGGCCAAACAAGTCTAATAATACATTACGTTTATATTCTTTGGTTATTCGTTCCTACCAGCCCACCCCACAGGGACCTGTTTTATTTTGATGAATGCCATCAATAAGGCGAAGATTTTTTTTGGTACAAACCGATGCTACATCTACACAATTGAGTGGCAAACGCGTGGCTTTTTTGCAGCATTCAATTATACTAAGACAGCATGGCAAGACATGACTTTTAACCTTCTTGGTTCTTTCGGTAAAGTCACGTAGAATGGAAATAATAAAATAATAATAAAAAAACATAATTCAGACTCTGTCTACTCGACAGACCTGCTCTCCACCTGAGGACGGCTGCTTGCGTTGTGGCCGAAACGTCGTAAGAATTCTTTTATTATGTTTTAATGTTATTATTTCCCTTCTACGTGACTTTACCGAAAGAACCAAGAAGATGAATCCCTGCAGTCACGAAAGCTTTAAATCGAAAATTACCCTTAACATTTGATTACTGAGACCTGTGCGAAGCCGGGTAACTTAGATAGCAAATAATAATAATAAAAACGCACCTGCCTACCCGTAGCTATGCAACGTAGTTGATTAAGTTTACATATGCTACAGTGCACAATTGTACACGTGTGATTAATCATAGGTGCACTCACACCGGCTTCACATTCGTTTCGATCATTTGGCTGCTATAAATGTCTACATGGCGAGCCACTTCGTTGAGCTAGTATTTGTGGCCAAGTCGCTTCTGACAAAAGAGCTATGTAGCTCAGTGGGCCTTAACCTGTGTAGTGTGGTAGAACACGCGGTGTGCAACTGATGGCCGAGGGCAACCGAGAGCAGGCAACGTGACGTTGCACGAGCAAACCTCCACCTCATTAACGGGAGAATCTGTTGCAGACGGGGTGGGCCCGGGGTTGTACGCTGGCACCGAAGAGGTGTCGCACCCTACGAGAGCGTCATGGAGGAGCTGGATAATACCGGTAGGAACCACCTGGTTCCACCAGCCCACAGGGGATTATTGTGTCCGTCCGTCGTGCATCAGAAAATGGGAGGGGTGGGGCTGGGTGGAGAGGGGAGGGTGGGGAGGGGCTTGGTGGGGAGGGAGGGGCTGGGTGGGGAGGGGAGGGTGGGGAGGGGCTGGGTGAGGAGGGTGGGGCTGGTTGGGGAGGGGCTGGTCACTCCGTGGTGCCCTTAAAAAAACTCAACGTTTAACCTACTCACGCCGGCTTGTGCCCGCACTCACAGTCGGGCATATTTGCGAAATACACCACGCCGCCGTTGACCCTGGCCATTGACCGTGCAACCCAACGTTCCTACCAGCTCCCTCCGCAGGAATGTGTTTGGGAGGAGGATATAAGGGGGTGCGTGAGAATGGAGTGAGAGTTCGGTTTGCTGGGACCAAGGTGAAGACATCTCGCCGCTGCCGCTCAAGCCAGGGACGGACCTCAACCCTCACTCGTCCAATCCGGGCGGGTGATGGTTGATTCCCCCGCCCGGATTGGACGAGTGAGTGGGTTTGATGGAACGTAGGCGAGGGCAGCGGCGCAGAGGGAGAGCAGCTGGGTGCAAGCTCTGTCGTGAGCGAAGCTTCTGTGTGAGCGCTGCCGTGTGCAAGCCTCTGTTTGAGCGCTGCTGTGTGCAAGCCTCTGTGTGAGCGCTGCTGTGTGCGAGCTCTGTGTGAGCGCTGCTGTGTGCGAGCTCTGTGTGAGCGCTGCTGTGTGCAAGCCTCTGTGTGAGCGCTGCTGTGTGCAAGCCTCTGTGTGAGCGCTGCTGTGTGCGAGCTCTGTGTGAGCGCTGCTGTGTGCAAGCCTCTGTGTGAGCGCTGCTGTCTGCAAGCCTCTGTGTGAGCGCTGCTGTCTGCAAGCCTCTGTGTGAGCGCTGCTGTGTGCGAGCTCTGTGTGAGCGCTGCTGTGTGCAAGCCTCTGTGTGAGCGCTGCTGTGTGCAAGCCTCTGTTTGAGCGCTGCTGTGTGCAAGCCTCTGTGTGAGCGCAACTGCGTGCAAGCTCTGTGTGAGCTGCTGTCTGTGTGCGGAGCTGTGAGTGCGGAGCTGCTAAGAGGAAGAGCTGCCGCAGGCAGGTCAGCGAGGTGTAAAGTCGAAAGGGGAAGTTGGTTAACAAAAGTGACCGTATAGACAGGAGTGCCTACAACTGGTGCAAGAATAGGGTTATAAAGTGTAAGCAGGTGACTTGTAACAACGTGTCCGACTGAGTGATTTTACAAGACGCTACACCTGGTAAACTGAAACACAGTATATTCTAGATTACAAGTTTTCGTGACTGCAAGGATCCATACTCTTTGGTTTTTTCGGTAAAGTCACGTAGAAAAACAAAGAGTATGAAACACAGTATCGTTTTTTAGGCGGGATATGTTTTTGTAGCACGCTGCGCTAAGACTCCCTGCACTCGCGAACCCATGGCAGAATGTTGTGTGCGTTCATTTCGATTCACACGTTTGACTTAGGCATGCTGACACTTGTGGGGGTGTAAACAGCAGTTGAAACGATGTCACAATTTCCTTAAATCCACAACTGCCTCTGTCCACCCAGCAGCAGAAATGTTGAGGTTGTTTGTCGTGTGGCAAAGTGTGTGCACTCCCACTCCTTCCATGACATATGGCCAGTGGGGAAGAGGAGGCCAAAAGCACCCTCCACAGGGGCCTCTCAAGAGCTTCCCTCCTAGTGGAGGCCCATCTGCCAGCTGTGGTGTGAGCAAGTAATTGCAGGGCTGCGTCTTCACCTTTTAATTACAGATATAGACCAGTCACATGTGGATTAACGTGTGCACGTTTTATTGATCACAGCAGATGAATACATATTACAGTACAGCAAGCTGATACTCGCTGGCCGCACGTGTGCGAGATGTCGCAAACGGCCGGCTGATTTGAGGCGGTATGAAGCAAGCGGCGGCTGCGTCCTGACTTTGAACGTCTTCGTTTCGATCATCATCATTATTGTTACGATTTTTTTTTATCGATCATGTTCCGCTCTGCGCGACGCGTCGCCGGGGGGCTGGGAGGCTGGGTTCATCATCGTCGCTGTCGTCCCAGCGGGAGCCGTGCGACGCCGCGCTACAGCTTGGCGTTGACGTGGATCGCCACCACGGGATCCTCGGACGCGTTGCTGATCTGGAAGTAGGCGCGACCGTCGCCCCCCACGGAGATCTGCGCGCCCGTGCAGCGCCCGCCCGACAAGTTGCCGGAGATGACGTCGCAGTAGGTTCCAGCCGGCAGGCCGGTCTGGAGTGTCGCGTCAAGGGCCCTGTGGAACGGTGACGTACATATGCTTGTACGTATGTATATTTCTATGCATGTATATATGTTGACACTTCTATCGCACTATACATAGCCAACCGTGATAATCGGAGGTGTAGGGGAAGGACAACAAACGAAACGCAAAAGGTAGTTCGAAAAAATGAATTGTGAATATAGATTTCAAAGTGCATAGCTCCAGTGGTTTTTTATTATCGGAGGGCAGTCGACTCGGTAGACCAAACAAAAATTATCCACGCGTTCTCTCGGCGGAGTGTAGTGGCAGACGTTGCTTGCTTTTGGCCACTGGCACAATTGTATTTGTCGTCGATTGTGCTTTCGGCATAGTGTAACGAGATGACGAGGGAGGTCCACGTTGCACTCTCACATTGACCAGTGGGTCATGACCCCCAGTGCGTTAGAGGAATGCTCGCAAGGAAGATTCTACGCCTCGCCTAGTTTGTCGAGCAAGCTCGACTGCCCTCGTCCTAACTGAAGGCTCATGGGCCACCAACTTTGGACATTTTCTGAATTGTATTTCTGTAGATGATATTTTTTTTCACGACCTACATGGTCCTTTGCGGTCGTTTTTCTACGTACGGTATGGACGCCAGCATCGATGTCATCGGGCTCGCTTATGTGCGCCCAGCGCCGGCAGCTGCAACTGTGGCAACTAGCGGTGTATACTGGATGCGTCGTGCCATTGTGCGGAAATTAAGCCAGTCGTGCTCACCAGTCATCATTGTTGATGACGATGAACCCACGGTTGCCGCGGCTGAATGCGATCTGGTTGCTGCCGTTGTCCCACCAGTTAGTCAGGTCGTGTCCGGTGACAGCGTTGCGGAAGATGACCATGTTCCTGAAAAGCAAGAATCGCACGACGACAAAATAATCGACAGCTGTGTGATTGGCGAGCACCTATCCACCTCCCCCTGCACCTTCCCCCTCGTGGTTCCACAAACTGTCACGATTCGAGGCCGCAAATAGGATTCAAGAAAGTGTTTGTTTTTTAACTGCTCCCGTGGTGCGTTTATAACCTCCGTGGAAATAAGTTCAAACGACGTAGAACAGTTGACAATAGGTGATCGTTAGGCACAATTCGATGCCTGGATCTTGCGGGTAGCAAGAGGTTGTGGTCGATGAATGGATGTATAGTTACACATCGGATACTTTTTTAAATGTAGGGTTTCGTAGCCAATACAGTGGTCTATATTTGTTTTTGAGTGAACCCACATTGGTAGTGTCATGCCAAGAATGGCCAACTGACCTAGCCCAGAAACTAAGATGGATTAGTGTTACATTTTGTATCACCGATAATTTACATTGAAATTTCTCCCAGAGAGGAACACGACCACCCTTTTGTGCTAAGGGAACATCCCACAGATGTAGATATCACAGAGTTACCTCTGAGATCCCTTTCAAGTGACCTCTGATCCAGTGACCTTTTATCGAGGGGACTGCACCTGGCACCCCCCCTGCCCCCCGCCACCACCCCTGCCTTGATCTCTCCCCTTCTGCATCAATCGCTCTGAACCGCTGAACCGCGCCGGCCACCGCTTGGACCTCTGGGAACGCACTTGATCTGGCGCCATCTGTGCTCGCACATCCAGCCGTTGCCGCATGTGTCGTCGGAGTTGATGGTCACGGGTTTGGTGGAGCCATCGCCGTTGGCAGGAGGTCCAATCCAGTCGTTCTCATCCTGAAACATCACGGGTCATGCCGCGGAGAACATTGGTCGTGCGTCGGGGGCAGCCGTCAATCGAGCGGGCGCGCGCGTTCGTAAAAGTTTGGACGCGAGCGCGGATGCCGCACGTCGAACGCGTCTCACCTTGCCGTTGACGAAGTTGCGGTCCCAGCTGTAGCTCGACATGATGCGAGTGAAGCCGTAGGGGTGAGCCAGCGTGAAGGCAGTGCCGATCTTGTAGACGCTGCGGTTGTGACAACATTACAAGAATGCAATATATTTTTAAAACATGTAATTCAGGAGGTGGTGAATGAGTCGCGAGCCGACAGAAGCTACGCATGACAGATTCCATCCTGACACGAGCAGGTCATAATCATGAAGTGACTCACATAAGCCACATGTGACAGATTCTATCCAATCGCATTTGAACATTTGAGCGCCACCGGAGTAAACGTGATGCGTACATTTCATAGCACGGCGCCAGCAGCGGCATCTGAGGAGATGTGATTATCTTGTGGAAATAGGTAAAAGTGAACTCTTCCCTATTCAAATGGACGCACGACAGATTTTGATTCAAATAGGTCGAACTTCAGGTTGTCGTCATTATTGTGGCAGTGAGCAACCCTTCTCTCACACACGTCCGAGATTGCGCCCTCTTTCCGGGGCCCCACTTTACTCAACCCTCCCGGAAGAAGCTGCGCGCGCCGGAGGAACCGGTCGCGACGATCCCTGCCACCTCGGCCCAGGCCTGGTGCCCGTCACTGGTCATGCCGCTCACCCGCACACGCCACGCCCAATCGCCTGCTCACCGCGAGTCCCAGAAGGTGAGGATGGAGGCCCCGCCAGCGCCGTGGCCACGCTGGTTGTCGTGGTTGTCGACGAACACCAGGGCGTTGCCCGTCGGCATGAAGCCCCAGCCTTCGCCCCAGTTGCTGAAGGGGGTGGCGGAGGGGCGAGCCGTTAAGTTTGCACGCACATAATATTTATTTCGATCAGAATGACCACGGTAACGATCAATATTCTTCTCTACCCCTTCCTGTAATGTGCGAGCTTCGCGCGATGATATACCCTGGGTCAGCAACCAAAATAACGAGGGCAATTTTTTTTCGAATTCAGTAAGAAACTCGATATTTCGAGAGACGCAATGCATGTGAATGACGTCACGAAGCAGTCCGTCAGGAGCCGCAGGTTGCTGACCCCTTTGATATACGAACTGCAGTCGCTGGGCCAGACAAGTACAATTCATTGCACGAATTGAGTACAATTAAGCGATGGTCATCGCAGCCATTCCACGTATACACGGGGTGAGAGCCAGAGCAGAATGCACGATAAAACGCAGATCCTATTGTTAGTCATTCTGTTTAGCGATTAACATTTTGATGGCGTTTCAGAGTTTATTTTTAGGTTTAGGCCAAACCCAAAATCAGTTACAATTCATGATATCGGCTGCGAGAAACCTATGTGTTTACGTCAGGTTGGTTTGGCATCAATGGTGTTGTGCCCCTGGGTCTGCATCACCACCCTGTGGTGCTAATGCAGACCCAGGTCGTATGACTGGCCCTGAGGCCTGGCAGGATACTCACCGGAGGAAGGACATCTTTTGTCCGTTCCACTTGCGCACCACCTCGCCCAGCTTGGCGCCGAACTTGAACTCGGTCACGCGGCCGATGCCAAAGTACTCGGATGCAGAGATGGCCTCTCCTCCAAGGTCAATGACCTGCAAAGATGTCTTCATCATCGTCGGGAACATGTATGCGATCAAGGCCCTGTGCGCCAATCAGAAGTACCTGTATTCCACCGTGATGTAGAAGGCCTCCTGTAGGGTTAGGCCGGTGTCACGGCAAAGCTGATGAGCCCACTCCCACAATTACAGCCGCCATCCACCACCAAGTGGCGGTGATGTCACCACGGCGTTTGTGCCAATCTAGGTGCATATTGAGGCCATGTGAAGCATCGCAGGCTCCCCCCACGACCCCCCCCCCACACAAAGATCCCCCGTATTGCCTTAACAGGCTGTTGGGGCAAGTCCTGTCAGCAAGCACCTATGAAGGCTGGAACGGCACACGAGGGGGTGTGTGGCCAGCACCACACGCGGCCGTCTTTATCTCTTTAGTGCCGATGTTTGCACATCGCACCAGGTACTCATTTGACGCTGAGTTGACCTTGGGGAGGCCCAGGACCGATTCAGATAATCGTCACTGGTGTTGGTCGCCGGGTTCGTGGCACGGCGCGCTAACCGTTGCACCACCGCTCCCCACAAGACACACACGCGCGTGCGCAGCACAGCGTCGGCGCCGCGGCCCGCACCTCCTGGAAGATGAAGGCCTTGCTGTTGGACGGGAAGTACTGCGAGTTGAGATTCTTGAGACGCCCCACGATGTCCTGGAGGTCTCCAGGCCACATGTGCTTGGACGCGTCGAACCTGAAGCCAGCCACGCCGATGTCGATGAGGTTGTTGAGGAAGCCGGCGACCTTGCCGCGCACGTAGTCCTTCTCCAGGGCCAGGTCGAGCAGCCCCACGAGCTTGCAGTCGCGCACCTGTGGTGGCGCGACGGCCCGTGGATCAGTACAACGACTCAACACCAGAGGTCGCAACCGGGTACCCGATACCCGTACCTTACCCAATACCCGGCTACCCGTACCCGGCCGGGCACGGGTACGGGTAGACCGTGAGTCACCGGTGAGTCACCGTTTGTCACTCATTTCCCAACGTCTTGTCTCTTCTCGAAATTCAAGTTCCTAGAATCAACCCACCCGCGCCTACAACATGGCTTCATCCCAGAGGTCGCAATCAGGTACCCGATACCCGTACCCTACCCGTACCCGGCCGGGTACGGATATGGTACGGGTACCGCCGGGTACGGGTACGGGTACCCGTTTGCGACCCTGGTGCGGCCGGGTGCGGGTACGGGTAAGGAATCAAAACCCGTTTAAGACCTCTGCTCAACACGTGGGTGAGTACAGCGCCTCAAGACATGGGTGAGTACAGCAACTCAACATGTGGGTCAGCACAGCGACTCAACACGTGGGTCGGTACAGCGACTCAACACGTGGGTCAGTACAGCACCGTACATAGCCAACAGCGCTAATCGAGGTGTGGAGGTTTGAGGTTTGCATCCGACAGGCCGCTCTGGCAAATCCTGCTGTATTGGCCATGAAAAATGTTGCCGTGCGCTTCGCTCGCAGTGGACGTAAACTTTCCCCTGACGTCGATTGAAACGGGTCAGGCCATTGCGTGCCGGCATCATGGTCCAAAAATGTAAATTTACCCACAAATTACTCAGTTGCGATTACACATCGCAATCATCTCCCCCTGCTGGCAGACTAATGCCCTCTTGCAGGCCTGGTGCCGAGCCACCTTTTGCCGCACAGAGACAGCTGCTATCATAGTTTTCAAAGGGCACCCCTTTGAAAACTTTGCCCCGGCATAAAGGGCAATATTGCAAAAATAAATTTCTGTTGTTATCTTTATAATGAGCAAAGACACACATAAGCTTTCCATACTAATATTATTCATCAGTATTTGTTTTAAGAAAGCAAACTCCAGACTGGTTTCGACCTTCTGGGTCTCCTCAGAATCGGGATTAGTTAAACAAATGCTGCTGGGTTACCAGGTGTTCTTGGCAAGAGCACTCCCATATAAACTTTGTTGCCTTTCTAAACGCAAGAAGCAATACTGTATTGTATATAAGCTCATGTTGGGTATTCCGGTTTTTCTTTTCATTTATTCATTAGTGGGGGACCCTGCTCCACTGGGACCGTGGGGCCCTGTCCCAATGTGTCCCCTTATGGCAGACATGTCCAAAGTCCGGCCCGCGGGCCAATCACGGCCCGCGGGCAGATTTCATACGGCCCGCAGCTTCAGTCTTATAATGTGTTAGTTATGGCTCGCTAGCGCTGTCAGAATAAATACATCATAAAACTCATGGAAATTTAAGGTATTCTATACAGTTTGTTCAATGTTATCTGACTGAATGAAAGGCAGAATTGCGTTTTTAGAGTTGTTCACGTCTGTCTGAGTGGCTTATATTTGGTTACATTGTCATTTGAAAAATAAAGGTAATTGTGACAATGAAAATTGTTTTATAACAGTGTGTATTTCCACGCAACTTTTGTGGTTAAAAAAATGTCAAAAGGAACTATTGGCCCCCGGGCATCTTCACTTTATCAAATGTGGCCCTCTTTGCAAAAAGTTTGGACACCCCTGCCTTATGGTGCCACGGTGGCAAGATGTTATCTCCCTCGATTGGTATGCAGGAGGTCGTGGTTCGATTCCGACCGTGACGCCTGTATATTTGGAGTTTGCATGTCTCTCTCCCCATGTTTGCGTGGATTTTTCCCCGGGTCCTCTGAGTTTTCCCTCCATAATTAACATGCGTTTAGAGCAGGGGTCCCCAACGCCCGGGCCGCGGACCGGTACTGGTCCGTTGCCTGTTAGGAACCGGGCCGCACAGCAGGAGGTGAGAGCGGTGAGTCCGCGCGTGGCCCACCAGTTATTTTATTTACCACTTCTGGCCGCGCCTCCTTCCCTCACTGCGCACTTGTCTCAGTCACAGTTTTGGTAAGCGCCTACAAGCTAACCCCTAGCCAAAATGAGTAAAAAACAAACGTCGCTGGAGAGCTTCTTTGAAAAGAGGGAAAGACCCAATGATGACCCCCCCCCCGGTCCGTGAAAAAATTGTCTTCCACGAAATCGGTCCCTGGTACCAAAAAGGTTGGGGACTGCTGGTTTAGAGCTATAGGCTTCTACACATTTCCACGTGATAATAAGCCACTTCGTTGAGATATCATTTATGGCCAGGTCGCTTCTGAATTTTTTTTATATAGGTCAATGGACGTTACCTTTTAAAATAAAAATAGTTGAATAGTTTAATGTCGATTCCGTCACCACTGCGCACCTGGTACTTGTCGCCGTAGTTCTCAATCTGGCCGCTGGCGGTGCCGCACTTGCCATCGTTGAAGTCCATGGAGGAGTAGGGCACGGCCGAGAACTCACGGCGCCCGGCGTCGAAGTAACTGCCGCACGTGGCGTGCGTGCCAGAGCCGCCGCCATCGCCGCACATGTGATTGATGATGGCGTCAACGTAGATGCGAACCTGCGGGGGAGGGGCGGGCATGTGATTAGTTTGATTTGGGCTAACGTCATGAAAGGCACCCGTCTATGCGGATCTCGAGCAGAGCAAGAGAACGGCTCACGGAAGCGGATATCCCAGAGGTGCATCTGACATCCATTCAAGTAACCTCTGGTCAATGCAGTAGAGGGCAGCACTTATTTTGCCAACCCGCTCTGTAAATGCGATGGGGCCTTCTATCTAATTTACCCTCCCTCCTCAACCCCTCATCGTAGCCCTGCGTAATTATTTCTTGAACTTGTAACCTTGTACACGGATGCTTGGTGGTGAATACTCTAAACTATAAACACTCTGAACATGTCCCCGACAATATACAAGTGTGAAAACACCATCATCAGCGTGCTGCTGTCAAACCCCCAATGGTTTCAAATATGTGGCGGCCCTCACACTGATGATGTCTTATCAATGAAAGTGTGCCCTCCCTCTGACAATTGGTGAAGAAGACTGGGTTAGAGAGTTGCTGCTGCCATGGTGAGAAGATGTTAATTGCCTCGCCTGGTATAAAGGAGGTCGTGGGTTCGATCCCGACCCTGACGCCTGTCTATTTGGAGTTTGCATGTTCTCTCCGTTGTCGTGTGGATTTTTCTCCGGGCCCTCGGTTTTTCCCCTTCACATTTAGAATCAACATCACGACGCGTTCAGAGTATTTGGCCGCTAGACATTCCCAAAGGATGATGATAAGTCACTTCGTTGAGCTATCACTTGTGATAGCCAGATCGCTTCTGGAACAAACAGCTATGAAGATAAGTGGGGCCTTACGTGGTACAATGAAAATAGTTTAGTTTATATGAAAGCAATTATTTAGTTGACATGATTTTTTTTGGTTTATATAATTTTTTTGGCATAAAAAAATGGTTTAGTTGATATGACTTTTTGTTTGTTTATATATATAAAACAAAAATTAGTTTTTAGTGTATCCGGAATCGCTCCCACCGCGTCCCGTGCCTCACCCCGGCGTTGTTGCAGCGGTGCACCATGTCGCGGAACTCGGAATCACTGCCCGAGCGCGAGCACAGGTTGTAGCTGACGGGCTGGTAACGCTCCCACCATGGACGCCAGGGGCTGTTGATCACGATGTTCTCGTTGGGGGGAGACACCTGCGGTTGTTGTGGAGTTGGACAAGTGCAGAGAGAGGTGGTGGACGTGTGGGCGAGGTTGCTCGTCAACCATCCCCCTCGTGTGCCGAGGCGGCCTTCATAGGTGCTACTCGCTAACAGCACTCGCCCCAACAGTCTGTTAAGGCTGTACGGAGGGCGGATCTTTTGTCTTTGAATGTGGAGGTCACCATGGCAAATGCTCAATGGCGCCTCACCTTGGCCGTCACCTCCGCCCCCTTGCTCGATCACGCCACAAATGAAAAGTTAACGCCAGGCCTCCAGGGTCACTCCTTCTCCTCTGCTGCCCCCAATGTCTGGAACTCCCCCCCCCCCGCCATCCGAGCCCCCTGTTCAAGTCAGGGCTCAAGACTGTCCTTTTGTAAAGCTCCCGATGAACGACTGACTGCCCACTGTTTATATAGAATGACGATACCCACTGTTTATATAGAATGACGATACCCACTGTTTATATAGAATGACGATACCCACTGTTTATATAGAATGACGATACCCACTGTTTATATAGAATGATTATGCCCATTGTTTATATAGAATGACTATGCCCAGTGTTTCTATGCAAAGACTAAGTCCACTGTTTGCTGTAGAGTGCCTTGAGACGTGGTTGCATTAGATGCGTTATGAAAACACTCTTACGGTCTCACCCACCACCACCATTTCACTTGTTTGTTTTCATTTTTGTTACAGAGTCAACGCGTTCTTTAGGGCCCGCTCCTACGATCTAATGGCCACATCAGCTGGCTTTAGGTCTTCTCCCTGAATCGCCAACCTCTGGGTGACACTCAACAGCCCATCTCGGTAACTTGCTCTCCTCCATCCTGCACACGTGTCCCACCCATCATCACCTCCTGCACACGTGTCCCACCCGTCACCTCCTCCTCCTCCATCCTGCTCATGTGTCCCACCCATCATCACCTCCTCCTCCATCATGCACACGTGTCCCACCCGTCACCACCTCATCCTCTTTCTGCTTGCATCTTCTACAACGCGTTCGTGCCATGTTCTGTTCCGCCATTCCATGTTGTTCCGCCCGATCCCTTGCATTACATTATAAGTCTCATTGGCGTCTGTCTGTATTTAAAGGTCAAAAGCTTCGAGTTGCTTTGCTAGAGTCGAGCTCTCCGAACAACCTGGGAAAAAAAATCAATGAGGGGAATTGCTGTGCCTAAGTACAATAATTATTGCCCTATTGAATTTATTGGAGTGAGCTGATCTCTTTTTTTCCCCTCTGACTTTCCACCCTTATCTGCTTCCAATTTTAATATTTATCCCTTTATTATGGCTTAAACAAGCATAACCGTTGCGTAATGCCAGCCTTACCCTGTACACTTCGCCCGCCTCCACACCTCCAGCACCCTCACCTGCACACCCCACTCACATCTCCACCACTCTCACCTGGTCACACCCCACCCCTCCCACCCCACCGCCACACACCTCTAGTACACTCACCTGCACACCCCACTCACATCTCCACCACTCTCACCTGGTCACACCCACCCCTCCCACCCCACCGCCACACACCTCTAGTACCCTCGCCCCTCCGCCCTCGCTCGCCCCCCCACACCTGTACCGCACTCACCTGGACGCCGGCGAAGCCGTTGGGCCCGAGCCAGCGCTCGCACTCGGCGGCGATGTCCACCCACCTCCACTCGAACAGGTGCACCATGGTGTGACGGCCGTCATGGGCGTTGGGGTGCCACTGGCCCCAGGCCAGACCCACGAACGTCAGCAGCAGCAGGGCCTTCATGCTCCACCTGGCGTCGAAGGGAGGGGACGAGGTGAGCGATCTATCGATCGATCGATCCATTGATCCATCGATCGATCGTTCTTAACGTACGTTCCGGAGAGTAGAGTGGTGGCGGGCGACTGTGGTGCATTCGGTCGAGTCGTCAGCAGAATGAGTGACGAGACAGCGGAATGACCGACACGATCGTCATTGTCAAAGAAGCGGGACCAGTCGTTGGGGCAAAAGAAGCGGAATTGTTCACTCGATGTTTGCGCAGAAATGGAATCCCGCAAATCACGGAATGACGTAGCAATCGCTTCTATTCACGAACGGTGCTGCGACCGACTTGAAATACCACGGAGTTTTGTGCCTCTTAGGAAAGGTTCCTCTACCGTTGACCACTTACCAGTGCACTACTGTTAATCACATTATGGAAAAAAGTTATTAATTAAAGTTACCATTGTGTCTAGCCTCTGTTTACATCCAGTACTATTGTCTTAATTCTCAAGACTGCTGCTGATGTCACTCCCATCCCGACAAATACATCGACATTGGACCCCGACATCCCTGCAAATGTGTTATCCCATCTCAAACCTCCACTCCTTTGGAAAAGTTCGAGAATGGATCATCTCCCATCTCTCCGAACACTTCCCTTTACATGGTCTCCATGACCAAGGACAGTCTCGTTTACACAAATGCCATTCTACCGAGTCTGTTCTCCTACGCGTGGCCAATGAACACCCTCGCTCAGAATGTGTATCCCTCTCTCAGGCCCAGTTCTTTTAGACCTTTACGATGCTTGTGACACCATAGACCCCACCGCCTCCCATCTTTTAGGCTTATCGCTGAGCCAAACCTCCTCCGAGGTGAATGGAGATCGGTTAATAACCACTGCGCGGGTTATCGCGGTTGTGCCGAAGAGTTCTCAGATGCGTTTTCGTGCCAGAACCGTTCGGCACGGTGCCCGACGTTTTGCGCCGCGTGCTGGGAGCTTCATACTTTGAAGAATAAGACGAAAGCGGGTTGCTGAAGAGAGCACCCAGCATACGGAGTGAAACGTCGGGCATCCAGAAGCTTCCAGCACGCTAAATAAAACCTGCCAGTAGAAACCGGAGAACTCGAGAAAGAACTTGAGGAGAGAGCGAGATCGTCAAGGCGCGTTTGCACCCTTCCTGACCAGCCTGGGGGTCATTGCTCGCTTTTATTTTTTTATTTTAATTTTACTTTTATAATTTTTTACTTACGTGACTTTACCGAAAAAACATAAGAATATGAATCCTTGCAGTCACGAAAGCTTCAAATCTAAAACCATCGCTCCGAGCCAACAATCGCCTGGTAGTCGCCCTCCGCACTCAGTCGCTCACCTCGTGTGCAGCAAATCTGAAGCTGGTCCCTGCCGTCTGCAGCCCCGCGCTTAAATAGTCTCGAGTCGGGCGCGAGAGAGGTGCGAGTGGGAAAATGCGCAGTTGGTGGCGCATTCGCTCTATGGGTAAACCCTCACATGTGGCCTTGCTGATAAAGGGCCATGAACTCGCCAGGCAAGGTGCCTCTGTGTTCATTACCAGTGGCGCCCACGTGATTGTGTGTGGACGGAGCGGCCTTCGAGGTGGGTGCACGGTAATGTTGGGAAGCCGCTTAAACTTTTCACCCTTTTTCGCGTTTAGGACAGAGCGGAGGGAGGTTGCACGGGACGGACCATTCATGTGACGAGTGACGCCGGAGGTCACCTTCAGCGGGGAGGATGTTGACAAAACCCCACCCCTCTGGCTGTTCGAGTTATCTCGGTCGATAATGCAATAAGTTACATTGATAATAATTAAGCAGACTAGCAGCTGCCTCCACACATCGACTCCGAGAATCCAATAAAGTGTACATATATATTTTAGAATCGGCGTGTGCACGTTCTGGACCAATGTAATTCGGTAGCATGCGTTTTAAGCAGCCGGGTTTCAACTTGCTGGGTCTCATCAGCGAAATGAGGATCGTTTAGTGTATGCCAGGTTTACCCCTGGCAAGGGTAATTATCCACCGTCACAACAGGGCCTGTTCAGCAACACAAACGCATTGTTTGACAAAACAGTAATTTTGAAATGCTCGAGACCAGTGGTACTTAACCTGGGGTGCACGCATCTCCTGGGGGTGCGAGATGCCCCTTGGAGGGGGCGGGGGGTGTGCGAGACACGGCCAGAATATTTTTTAGAAGGAAAATTATCGAAAACACTAATTAAGTACGGGCACGTAAGTACATCTACTTTGTTTTCTTCTTGGTTCTTTCGGTAAAGTCACGTAGAAGGGAAATAATAAAATAATGAAAACAAAACATAATATAATAATTCTCACGACGTTTCGGCCACAACGCAAGCAGCCGTCCTCAGGTGAAAAACAGGTCTGTTGGAAAGACACTCGGGTCCAGTTGGAAAGACACTGTCTTTCCGACAGACCTGTTTTTCACCTGAGGACGGCTGCTTGCGTTGTGGCTGAAACGTCGCGAGAATTATTTTATTATGTTTTATTTTCATGATTTGATTATTTCCCTTTTACGTGACTTTACCGAAAGAACCAAGAAGATGAATCCCTGCAGTCATGAAAGCTTTAAATCGAAATTTACATCTACTTTGTTTCATCACCCCCCTACGTATGCATGACCAAGTATACATTGTTTTACGATTGACAACCAAAGGAGTGCAAGGCTGCAGCAAAGGTTAAGAAACCCCACTGCTGTAGGTGATCTCGGATTCTCGTCTTTCGGTTCTTGGATTGCGTCGCCCGAATTGTGACTGTGCCGTGCGATCGCAGGAGAAGCGGCTGAATGGAAGCATGTCTAAAAGGCATGGATCGGGCCACCTTGCCCCGGGCTAATCTCTTGAGTCGGATTAGCAACCATCCACGCAACCGACCTGACGTATTAATTGTAATTTGTGCACCACAGCCAACGCGCCATCATTAAATGATGTCACACTTTAGGCTCATCTTTACAACAGATATTGCAAGAAAAAGCTTAACACGGTCATAGTCACAGAAGCATTTGAGTGAAGAAATACATGCAATAGCAGGAAATGAGGGGTAAATACGCACTCATATGTTACGCGACAGCATTTGTTCAAATTTGAATAATAGTGAATGAATACATTTACAGCCGTGTGTCGGTACGCTGATGGATGCTACCTCGCCATGCTAGTCAGCGCGGATTGGTGAAATTTGGACCATGGATACGTTGTGATATCATCTGGTATTGATTTTAACCTTGGCCGGCAACTGGACCCGAGTCAGCGGCGTCATAATGTATCGAGCTAACCTCTACACCACCCCATGAACTGTAAACAGGTAAAAGGTGCAACCCTGCAATTATTTGTTCGTGCCACTGCTGGCAAAAGCGTCCCCGCACTAGAGGGCATCTCGAGAGAGCACCTGTACAGGCTATTCGGCCCACTCTTCCACACTGGGTCAGACGTCCCAGAAGAGGTGGCCATACCCACACTTTACCCCACCACACATGACGCGACGACCTGCCGATCGACTCACTGTGTGTGGCACACCCATTGACACTGCCGGGCGGACAGAGGTGGTGGGTGGGTGGGTGGGTGACGGGGGGGATTGAAGAATATTGGACCGTTGTTTCAACTGCTGCGCTGGGAGATCGAATGGAAAAAGGTGACCCCACGTGTGCGTGTCCTGTGCGCGAAACATTACATCGGGACAACATGCCATGAATCGTGTGAAAATGTGAAAGAAGATGTAATTTACAGCTGTTTGTTCATTCGCGGGTGGTGAAGGCACCTCCAATTAGCGCGGTTGGCTACGTACGGTACGAAATAAGTTCAACGTACGTGCACACATACATGGTGTGCCCGTGCCTTGTAAGCTGTGAGTGTTGCTGCACTATAATTCCCCACGCTGGTCATTGCGGGTTGGTAGCGATGGCAGGAGTCAGAAGCGGTGCATGCATCGCTCGCCCCCTGATGCGAGTCATGGTCAGGCATCTAACTCTGGTCTTCTGGGTTAAATAGATTAGGGCAATAATCACGGTGCCACCACTCCACCCCGTGAAATATGTGATTACAGAGTGTTCTTTGCGTGGGCTGTTAAATGCCTCCTGACGTAATGTTAATGGGTATTCCATTATGTGGCAAAGCCATTACTCAAATCCCTCCGTTTAAGTTGAAAAATTATGAGAAAAAAACATCGCTAATATCACTAGCTCTCACCTGCAAGAAGCGATGATGAATCTCACTCGCATCTCGTACGGTTACATCATTTTTTTAAATATATAGATTAATGCTAAAACAAATAGACTGGATTGTTTATGATGAAAAAAATAATGGAGCTTCCTATTCCCGGCAATAATACAGGAGGTGTTAATGTAGGTGCCTTTTGGTGTTTGCACATCTTATTTTATTTTATTTTACTTTTATTATTTGAATTTTTTTACCTACGTGACTTTACAAAAAAAAAACCTAAGAATATGAATCCTTGCAGCCACGAAAGCTTCAAATCTAGAATTTGCACATCTTCATACGTGTAACATTGCTGATTAGCACGGCTGGCAACGTGCGGTTCAACATACATACACAAAGCCTTTTCTTCTTTCATCATATTGATCTCGGCAAGAAGGGTCTCACTAGATATGTATTGTTGTATGTGTAGAGGAGTAAAATGGGGACGTGACGTCAGGTGTGCCGTTCAGTGCGATGACGTCACGTCTCCTAGGGTACTTAAGGGAGACCCCGTGACGTAAGCGGGGTCACTGTGGGAACGGGTAGAGTAAGCAGGGTGAAGAGGGAACCAGGGGTAGAGAGAGGGATCGAATGGTGAGCCTGGGGAGAAGCCGGTGGTAGCCGTAGAGGTGCTTCTCTCTCCGCTCGGTGGAGTCGGCAGAGTCCACGATCCGACACGAGAGAGAGAGACCGGAGCGAGCCGGCAGGGACCCGGACTCAGAGTAGGACCCCTAGCCCCTGGGAGTTGTGTACCCTGCTGTGTGTTATTGTTAAGCTTTAATAAACACTCGGTGAAAGCCCTTAACATACCTCCGTCTCCGAGTACGTCCGTGGGAACTTATCTACATATGTATTATACCGCTTGCACTGTCGTATTCCATATCGATGGACGAGGCACCCGCCTGGATCTCTGGCCGGAGCAGTGCATATCTTTCGTGCTGTAAAACGGCCCGCAGAGAAGCAGCGTCGGAATCTCGATTTCGACTGGAAGAAGCCTATGAGCTATGAAGATCTTTTTCACAGATGTCCAGTAAGGATGCGGGTCGGAAAGTTACAACAGCAACAACCGATACAAAAAAACGAGTGGATTGCAAAGAATGCAAACTATAGGAAAGCTACGCAAGTCTCAAAACACAACTACAGTTTATCAATACAAATTGCACAAGTACGACCTGCACAGTAGGGGGCAGCACTTTCCCATTCATTCGTTGCACGCCAGAAACGACGAACATTTATTGAGCCAAATTGGGGGGGGGGGACCCAAGTTTAACCTTTTGATAGATTTGTTTCTGTGTGCACAGTTATCAACTTACAAGAGTCACGTGTGGCTGAATGCCTGTGACAGTGACTTTGTCTCTTTCTTTCATACTTCCAGATGACCGTGAACGCACCCAACGTTGCCTTAGCTGGGAAGCCAAGCTCGTTTGAGCCCCGACGGCACAAGGATGGGAGAGTATTTGGCTGCTGTAAATTTCCACGGCGGAAAGCCACTTAACGTTGAGCATGTAGTTTGTGGCCAGATCGCGTTCGTGAAAAATGGCTCATAGCTCATTGGGCCTTACCTGATGAAAAAATAAAAATAGTTTAACATTTTGTAACGACAACATTTTTTTATAGTTTGATTGCCAGGACGTGATTGCTTTTTCATTGCTTTCATAGCTTTATTTTGGTGATTTCGAAAAGTGTATTGGTTTAGCCATGTTTGTGTTGTTGTAGTACAGAGTTAGACTGATGGCCTTAATCTAAGTTGTCTTATGGTTGTTGTTGTTGTTGTTTGACTTGCATCCCACTTGGGATTTTTGCACACAGCGTTGGTGTACGGTTTTTTTTCTGCAATATTCTGCTATCTTTTCTTGGATTTTCTGTTTGCACTTAGTCACATATTCACTTTAAGATGTTTTTGTTCATGTTTTTGTTTTTTGTTTGTTGCGTTTGCACCCGATTCAAGAGCCGAATGGCTCACAGGGCTATACCTAATAAATGAACTTGAACGTACTGCTTGCTGTCGGACTGTAGCTGCCAGCTGGCCTGGCGGTGGTCGTGTCATCCTTCCGTATGCGTGGTGGGGTTTTATCCGGGTTCTCCGGTTTCCTCGCACAAGCCTAACACTTATTCACGCCATTGGCCAAGACCCCTTCCCCCTTACTGAGTCTTGAGATACCGCAAGGCTTTCTTGGGTTGATTGAATGCCTATCTCATGTTATTCTCCGGACTATTGCGAACCTTTAATGTGTTTCATCTCAGTCACTCACTCACCC